GCTCAGTGGAGCCTGGGCTCTTATTTTGCTGTTGGCTCCCAGTGGGCAGGACCTGGAACTAGCATCAAAGCCTCATCTCTGAAATCAGGTTTTGTATTGAGACTTATTTTAAAGTAAGGCCCACACACTTCCGAACTAAACTAGGGAAAAGATGCTAAAAACCAAAACAGATGAGCAAAAAGTAGGTAGGTAACACTTCTGATCTAAGGAACCTGCTGTTACTTTTTTCACACCACCATTATCTAGTTTTATGAGCTAGTCACCAGGGAGCACGGAAATTACACGAGTTGCCCAAGGTGATACAGCAAATCAGCAGCACAACAGAGAATACAACATAGATCTTGCAAGTCCTAAACTGCCACCCTCCCCCCCACCTCCCTCTCATACCTGTCGTGTTCCCAGGATACAAATACGGCTTTTGTAAAATGGAGGTCAGCCAGGATGCATTTCCTGATTACGCACATTAGTACGTATTATAAAAGCATCCTTGTCATTGCCTTTCTACAAAGCAGCACTGTGCCTTTGCATTTGAAATTTCTGAGGAATTAAAAATTAGTATATAATTGTGATGACTGTACAAACTATGTCCTAACGCTTCAGTGCAATGCTCAAAACAGCATTGCCTACCTGAGAGAGGGGAGACTAGAGTCAGAGCCTGAAACAGGGCTGAGATGCCAGTTGTTTCTTACAGGTGAAAGGCTAATGGAGTGAGCAAAGAAATCAGAGAAAACACAGCTGCACAGATACTTACGGGTGTAGAGGGAGAAAGGGCCTGCCACTAAAAGGAAATAACAAATGAAACCCTCCACTGCTCAGCAAGGGCAGGGGAGGATGTGCAGCCCAAGCAGTTGAGATTGAGATTAGGAGTCAGGGGTGCCTGTCTTTTAACCCTGGATCTGGTTCTCACTTAGTTGTATGCGTTGGGCAAGTCAGTAAAGTTCTCTGCCTTCATTTCTCCATCTGTAAAATAGGGTCTGGAATAATACTTACACCACAGGGTGGATTAAAGAGCAGCTGTACAAAGCTTTGAAATGTACAGCCATATCAGGGCTAAATAGCCCTGTTTCTGCCATAAGCATTTGCTTTAGGGCAATATATGCTGACATGATGTTATAGGACCAATGTGAAATGCTAGAAAGACAGAAATGTTTATTAAGTGGATAGGTTAGCTTCAGGGGAAAGGCTTATGTGCTTCATGATGTAAACACATGATTTTTCAGTAGGTACCAGAATGCAAGAGGCAAATCTGTATTTTTTTAAATTTTATTTTAATTTTGTACACATAATAGTGGGCTGTCTGTGAAATGTGCAGGTACCCAGGCAGAGCCCAAAATTTAACCTAAGGCTAACACTGAAGGATATGAACTAGCTTTATCTTTCAAAAGCTGTCAGTGTAGGTCTGAGGCTTCATGTATGACATTCAGGGCAGAAGCACCTACACATACAAATAATGCACTTAAAAGCACTGAAAGACAAGATCTTAATCTCAACAAAAAAAAAAAAAGATGTCTCTCCAATGTGTCAGAACTTCAAAAGTAATTGTGAGATCTGACAGGGCTGCTGGTGATTCTCTTAAAGACTCTTTATAGCTCCTCTTACAGGGGCCTTGGGCTGATTCATGTTGATCGTGTCTGACAGCTAGCATTTCTGTTAATAATAATCATAAATAAAGTGGACAAGGTTGTCTGACCTGAAATGAGCATATCTATAGTGCCATATCCATTACAGCACAGTGGATCTGTGACCGCAAATCAGGAAAGGTCCAATGCTCTTGACACTATGTATTAAAATAATATCTGTCTTTTAAGAGCTCAGAACCTTTGTCTGCTATCTTTTTCATTAAAAAGTGTTCTTTAAGAGAGAACATTCACACTAGAACTGACCTACAGAAAGGAGATACTACAGAGGGTGAAAGATTGCAAACCTTTGCATTTTTTTTTGTTTATTATCCAATAAAAATATATTTGTGAACAGCTCTATTCTCCCTTATATATCAGCTCCTCCTTCATGTTCTCCTGCATTGAAGTCATAATCCTGGTTTTATGCCATCATAAATCTGCTGACGTGAAAAATTATACTATTATCAAACACATCAAAACAGAATTATGATTTCACTGCTACAGGACCAAATGCAAACAGGAGCTGGGTTATAAGAAAGTGAAGCCTTATTAATTTCTGGGCAGTGGTTTGCTGCTGGAGATATGGAAGGTAGCAAAGATTTTCTTTTTTAAAATTTACATAAAACCCCTGGTTGCACTTCTACACAAATACAAGTCATTCAAAACAATACAGGAATTATTTGCAAATATAAGGGATCACCCTCAAAAGTATGAGAAATAACACACTTAGAATCTCTCCACATATCAGCCTGAATGACAGGCTGAATCAAGAGAGCAGTTTTGCAAAATAGTTTGAGGGAGGTCAGTGTGCCAGGTTATGCTGAGCCCACTGGGGCAGGCAACTTCCAGGGATACAGGCCCTCCACTGAAAACCCTCCACCCCAGAGAATCAGGTCCAACAATGGGTAGGTACATGACATGTTGCTGACAAGGGAGAGCAGAACTAAACCTAACAAGAAATTAGAATAAAGAGATGAATCTGTCAGCCAACAGAAAAGCTGTATTTGGTGAAAAACACAGGTCAGATGTTACACAGCAGTAAAAAAGCAGCAAAGCTTAGATTCTCCATGTATCCTGCTAAGGAAAGGTGCTAAGGAAAGGTGCCTGCTCACCTTTGCTTATCTGCACAGCACAACAAACCAACGTCACTGCTTTACCAGGTAGGCCAAAGCTGGCTAGACCATGGAAAAGCCTCTTCTCTCCAGCTGTGTCTTCCAGACTGCTAAAAGTGCAACCTAAAACCTGAGGCTCAGACAGTCCTCTCTTCTTAAGTTCCTTTTTATGGCTACTGACACAACATTCAATCCTACACGGGGGTTATCGAAAGCCAAAATTCTAAGCCAAAATATAACCTTGATATAAAGTACAACACACAGATCTGAAGCTTTTCTGTAATTACAACATAAAGACGATGTTTTCCTTGCTCATATTTCCAGCTTTGTCCAGCCTCCAATATGCTAAGCAGAGAGAGAGAAGTGAAATGAAACAACTAGTTTTATGAGAGCAGAGTAAACAGATCCTGGTCCCCTACTGATGTAAATTTGGGATGAACTCTGAAGTCTAAAGAATCTGCAGGCTCTGCCTGAAGCTCTTCTCAGAGTATTTTTTAAAGTAACTCCTCCAGAGAAAGGTGTGTGTGTCCTGTAGTGTCCAATAAGGACAAATCCCATTGCAGCTTTCTCTCTGTTCCCTGACCTGCACAGATGCCTGTTTGCACAGAATTTGTCCAGTAGAAAAAGTCCGTATCATATGGACAGTTTCTCCACAAGATACAATCCAGTTCACAGTATACACTCAGAAACACAATCTCTGCAGATGGCTTTGTTCTCCTTTTCCATAATATACAAACAATCCTTCTTTTTCTTGCAAGTTACCATTAAAAAGTTTATCTTTGAAAGGAGTTATTAAAGTAACAGCTCTTCAGAAAGAGGAAAATCAATTTATTGCCATGTAAAATGAAGGGATAAAAAAGAGGTTTTCTCATAGGATGCAAAGTTAACTTCAGAAAGATTATTTCATCGCTTGGTCTGTTCTTGCACTGTGTAGAGTGATCACTTTCAGATGCATCCTCTGAACAGGTACAATCAGCCATGCACTTATGGATATGGTTTTAATAGTGGTATCTATTGTATTCACATCTGTTTTGCACATGTTCTTCCTGCTACCACAGTCAAGAGCATAAAGAAAGGGAGAGTTATGCATTACTCAGTTCATTGCAAATGAATCCCAGAGGCATCGCAGCAAGTGGGAATGGCTGGTGAATTAGGAACTCTATGAGAATTACACATTTTGGGCAGGCAGTGCTACTGTAGGATAAGTAGCCACTGATATTTCACATACCTATGCACACCAGCTCCAATGCCAATGTGCATTCTTTTCTAAAGTAGGTTAGACAGGACTCACACTTCAGGTTGGGAAAACAGCACCCAGGAAAAAGGTGAGGTGACTAGCTGATGGGTGTTTCTCACCCCTGTCCTGCAATTTTCTGAAACTCATTCTGGTGGGAAGATGTGTTGGGAAGATGTATCAGTTGCAACTGCACAGACTTGGTATGACCCAGGAAGCTCTTGCCTTCTTAATTAGAAAGTTCTGATGTAGTCTGAAAGCTATAACTGAACAAAGAGGAAGTCCTTCTGATCGTTTCTATGATCATTAAAAAGGCTTCAGATTTGCAAGTGCTCCAATGCAGTAATTCTCATATTATATAAAATATAATTTATTATTTGTTATCAATAAATTACTTGGAAAAGAAGGACGGATAACTCAAAAGTTAAAAAACAAGAGTCTCAGAGGCACGATAACATCTTTCAAGGGGCATATTTTAGGTGGGAAGTAGGAACTCAGCAGTGGTTTCAGCTGTGGGGCATCTTGCACCTTTGGGCATCCAGAGAACACAAGGAGCAAAAGTGGGCTGACAACAGATACTGCTATTCAGCAAGTCTTGTGCTGTTGCAACATGTGCATACCAAGAGGGGAGTCTGTGCCTCAAGTGCTTGCAAATAACAGTTACACTTCACCGCCTCACAAAGGCCTCTTTCTGGAATCAAATCAGAAGGATATTTGTATAAATAAATACTTGAATGTGGCTGCCATTGGCAATACTAGCCAGTTTAAGGGAAAAATGTTCTTCTGTTCATGTGAAGTAAATGTAAGTGAAATGGTTGAGGGGGAGACTCCCCTGCAAAGGCAATGGAACCACACAGGATTTGTTCATGTTGCAAAATGAAGAAACTCAAAGCCTAGGACACTTACCCTGGCCTCACTTCTCTGCTAAAAGATATAAATGGTACGAAATTAGCTCACCCTTAAGGCTAGCCTCCCCACCCCATACTAGTTATCTGCTTTGGTCTGCGTCCCTCTTTTACATCACCATCAGCTTACCTGCATTTGATCGTTTCTTTGGATTTTTGAGACTTCGGCACCTGCTGCTTGTGGAGCTGCTGTTCTCGCTCATGGAGTCTTGTGCTGAAGAGGCACTCCCTGTCGCCTCGCTGTCCCTCATCATGCTCTCGTAGCCACTGCTCCCCCCGCTGTGGTAGAACAGGGCTGTTTTCCCCATGGCGGGGGGCAGCTCCCCACTCAGGACACTGCTGTTGTCACTCCCGTGGCCGCTGCTGCAGCGGTGTGGTTTCCGAGGAGGCGTGATCTTGCTGTAAGGTGAAGGCAGCATGTGAACAGTTGGCTTCTCATCTCCGGGAAGGCTCCCGCGCTCCTCTGCCTCTGAGCTTCCCCGTGCCTGTAAGCCTCTGGCACTGGCACTCCCTTGGAGCAGCTCTGAAATCCGCCCATTGACGGCCCGAAGGGGCAATTTGGAAGCAAGGCTGGAGCCCCGGTTTCTGCTGAGGGACTGTGTTGACCAGGACATGTTCTTCCCACTTGGAGGCAAACTGGAGCTCTGCCCTACGGACTGAGGCAGAGACTTGGTCGAGAAGCTGAGCGTTTTGGTGGCAGAGGCAGACAGGCTGCGGGCCTTGGGGCTCGCCAGCAGGAGCTTGCTGACTGCAGAGATCTTTGACTGGCTGGCTTTTGGGGAGGCACCTGTGGACTGGGAGAGGCCCGAGTTGGTGGGTGAGGACATGACACTGCGGCTGAGGCTCCTTCCGGCCCTAGGCATGGTGGTGTCTTTGCCAGGGCTCATTTTGGAGCTCACAGAGGACAGGCTTTCTGCTCTTTCCAGCGACAAACACTCATAGTGGCTTCCCGTGGACCTCCCGAGGGAGTTGGTCCTGCTGGCGAGCTGCTCCAGTTTGGCACTGAAGAGCTTGCTGCTGCTGTTGCTGCTACTGCTGTCGATGCCAGGGCCCTTCTGTTTGGCATTCAGCTCCTCCGGGAAGCTGGCCAGGAAGGAGCCAGGCTGGCTGGAGGGACTGCTCGTGGTGCTGCTGGCTGCACTGTGCTGCGGGCTGGCTCTGTTCTTCTGATCCAAGCTTGACTTTCTCACCGGTGGCAGGGGAGGGGTCCCTTTGGGACGAGAGAGGACACAGTGTTTGGGAGAGGCCATTTTCTTGTCAAGGCTAGCCTTAGGAAACTGGGGGAGGACAGGAGAGCTGACTCCACTGGCGTCAGTGGCAGTAGGGTGGAGGTGACTGTCAGGCTCCTCCGGCTTGCTTGCCTTTGGGAACCCTCGAGGGAGGCTGCCATTCTTCAAGCTGTCACTGGAATGAACAGGGCTTTGGGTTGCAGAGCTGGATGCTGCCACCTCACACCCATCCACAATCCTCTTTAGACTGTCAGATCCTGGGGAGATAGAGGTGTCCCCGCTGCTGCTGCTGCTAAACCTGTCCACTGAGAACTGCTTTGTGCTGTGCTCAGCCTTGGCTGAAACTGTGGCCGTGTCAGGCCTTGGCCCATCACTGCTCCCAGAGCTGTCCTTTTGTACATCATCTTCTCTCTTCAGCCAAGGGTCTTCAAATTTTATATCCTTCTTAGCACTGGATTCTTTCCCATCATGGGGATGAGCAACCTTTGAGTCTGCAGCTACTGCTGGTACAGCATCATCAGTGTCTTGTGCTTTGAAGGGATTAACGGCAATACATGGATACACGGTAATGTTTGTCTTCATTGGGATGTAGCCTTCACAGCTGCTGAGGCTTGCAGTGTTTTTAATTGTGACAGTAGTTTTCCCTAGAGCTGAAATTTTACAGCCTTTGATAGGTGGCACTTTGCCGAAAGCTTCCTCCCCCATTTCTGACAGTATAAGCATGTTGTCAGTCACTGGCTTCTGTTTGTCACTCACACAAATCATGCTGGCACTTTGTATGGTGCTCGCAAACTCGGAGACAGGGGGTTCTGCCATTGCTTCCCCATGCCCATAGCATGCCTGGGCTATGAAGCTGTGACACGACTGTTCACCATCACTCCCTGTGCTCATTTCACTCAACCATGAGCTGATGGATGAGCGCCTGCTTCCATCATCCTGGGATTTGTCATCCAGGCCCAATTTTGGAAGTGGAAGGTACTGTGTGATGCTGACTTCAGACACAGGAGCTGCACTGGAGTAACATTCAAGATCTTCAGATATGCTGCTGATAATACTGACTGGCCTAGACCCAGAGGCCAAAGCCTGAACAGAGCAGTCACTGTTAAAACTGATGATACTGGTTGGGCGCCCATTGTCAAGGACGCCACTAATGGTTAGCTCTTCTACAAGCGTGAACACCAGCTCATCCTCTCCATTCAGCTCTAGCGGCTGCTGCACAGTCACCATGGTGGTGCTTAGAATCTCCTTCTTGGATTCTGGAGAAATGCTTTGTTGCTGATCTTCACCAAGAATGGTCTCTTCAAAATCTCCATTGCTGGAGGACACTGATTTCTTCATGATCTGAGGGCTCATGCCTACAGGTGGCGTCCGGATTTCTGGCTGCAATAAAGATTCACTAGACATCATCCCAGTATCCTTACTCAGGGGAGCTGGTGGAGGAGTGGAGCTGGGCAGGACTCCTTTCTGTGTATAGACCTTGCACCTCTGGGATGGAGAAGTTGGTGGCTTGTACTCAGATGTCTTTGAAAGGCTTGCAATGCCAAGCCGGGGCGAACCCATCGGTCGAGGTTTGCCTTCCACAAATCCACAGCTGTTGAGACCTTCTCTGCTGCTCTGCAAGCTGGTGCTATGTGCTAACTGACAAGAGCTAAGCTCTTTACTAGAGCTGCCTGTTACACTCCTGGGAGAAGACGGAGTTGAAACATTAGTAAGCGCTCCAGAAGGAACAGGGGAATGATTTCTCTTAGTTTTGCTGGGTGTTGCATTTATATTTTCCTTGGCTTCTCTTTCAGGATGCTGACATTCTGGCATTGTATCTTCCTTATCTGACTCTGGTAAGTGGCTAAGCTCTGCCAGCTGGCTTGAGACAGAACACTTAGACATCTGGTCTGAGCTAAATTGAGCAGGCACCTCTTCAAAAGGAAATTTGTCTGTCTCTTCACTGCCATCTATGCAATCCAGCCTCTCCTGGAGCTCTGCAAAGGTGTTGCACTTCAGGCAGTCTCTTTCAGATGTGCTGGGCCCTGATTCACTAACTTCCTCCAACCTGCTCTCGGTTTTGGTCTTTTGCAGAGCAGGAACTATGGGAACAAAGTCAGGGGGACCCTCATTATCTGTCAGTTCCTTATCAGAAAGGGCAGTGCCATTGGGGCCAACGTAAATCACTGTGTCACACGACTGCTCACTGCTGGATGAATAATCAGGATCACTTGATAAATGCAAAATAGGGAAGTCTGGGTCAACAGTGTTTCTAGAATGGAAAGGCCTCAGCTGGGTTGGCCTCCGCATCCTGCCCTCCTCACAAGAGCTCTCTCCTCCAGAAGAACTCGATGTGTACTGCAATGTGAGAGAGAGAGAGACCACAGCATTTCAGCATTGCAAACAGCTCCTTGCACAAAGTGCATACACAAAAAGGTCACAGTCACATCTAAACTAGCAAATCTCCAAACTGAGGCACAGAGCTCTGAAGCTTCTTATCCATAGTCCTACAGCAAACACACAACAGTGTTCAATGGAGAACCCAATGCCCCAACTCTGTGTCCCACTCAAAATCACGACACTTCCAAAAAAAAAGTGAACAAATGGATTAGAATCTCTCCCTTAATTGAGTCTTGTCAAAGAAATCAGATATTTGGCAAAGGCTTTGCTGATTGTGTGTGTGTTTGTGTGTGGAGAGGAACAAGAAAACTCATTACACAAATAAGGCACAGAAAATAAAGACAATCCCTGTTTGGTCATACTACTACTATGTGGAATTGCATAACGTGCACTCAAATGTCTCTGGAGACATGCTACTGTGATGGTGTGTGGACTGAATCCCTTCATGTGTCTCTGTTAAATCCATTGACAAAAAAGTTTTTTTCTATCCATAAACTGTCAATTTAAATAAAACTCATAAAATCTCATTGTGCCCAATTCACACCATAAACCATACAGAACGAAACAGGACTCTAAAACATGAAAGTGGATACAAGCCATCTTCACTCCTTGGAAAAATTTACCACCCATATTTAGAAGCAGTGGGAATAAAAGGGGCATCAGTGCTGCCAATGGACACACTGCTTTGCATTTATTTTGCTTCTGCTCTCTATGAGAAGCACAGAGAATCTAACTCTTCATTAATCCAAATTTCCTTTAACTCTACAGCAGTTTCATTCCTTATTATTTCATTAGCACTAAGAGCATAACTGAAAATAAATGCTCTCTGACAGCTATACCATTAAATGAGGCCAGCTTACAAACCTGCTCTAGCAGATATGTCTGAACTCACTCTTCCATATCTGAAGCTGAAGGGTTTACCCGCCCCAGTCTCTGCTACGTGCTCTAAGCCACTCGCTTAGGACAGGGTACATACAACCCACGCACTTCGGAATTGATTTCTGATTTTGTTACATGCTGCTCTACCCCATCAAGGATCCTTTAGGGACCTTCTTCCTCCCTCCTCCACCATTACAAGAAGGGAGTTATACGTTGTCTTACCTTAGTTTTCTTTTTCTTCATCCTGAGGACCCTTGATGCAATCTGGATGGTGGACAGCGTCTCAGCGTAGTTCCCCGCAGCAGCTGAAATGTGAGCTATCATCGTGGTGCGGCAGTTCATATTCCCCAAGGACTCCCGAAGCAACATGGTGAGCTTGCTGTCTCTGCAAAATAAAACGAATTAAGGCTACATTAGCGAGCAAGGTTTCACTTTGACCATCGTGATGTGACTTGGGTCTCAGCAAGATTTTTTCTCCTCTTTTTAATGGAATCCTAATCAGTTTCCTTCCTCAGGTTTGCACTATGTTGTGTCTGCAGCTGAGCACGCTTAGAGACCCTGGACTACAATTTCAACTTCTTTCCTCTTCCCAATTCTCCTTTTCTGTCTTATTCTAGTGTCAGTCCTGCACCGTCACCACTGCCAACACAGAGATGCAGACCAGTGTTGGGGACTGGTTAAGGAGCCGCTGCAGCAAACATCAATCTGCTGCCCTTTTTCAGTGTGCAGTGTGCAAGCAAACTCTCACCCAGCTCTGGAGGACAAGAGGGTAGTGGATTAGATTAGAGGACCCGAATTTTTTCTTGCCTGGTAGGGCACTGCATAACTCCATAATAATACTAGTTAAATCACTGAAATTAATTTTGGATGATGCTGGTGAAATACAAAACAATCAAGCCCTAAGACTTTGCACAATTGTTCTTTCATATTAGATCTTTTCTTCCACTGAGGAGAGAATCAAATTTTCTGTTCATGCCATTTACTCTATTGTTCAGTGCATTATAGCTTTTGAAATGCTGATGCCTTATTGTGGGGCTGTCTGTGACTGGACTAGGAATAGGAATTGTCAAGCATGACAATTTTAACAGCATAATAATGCATATATAATGCTTCTGCGGTGGTCATCTAATCCCATAGTCAGAAATGCATGATATAATTTTTAAAGATAGCTTTAGCTACAAGGTGTACAGGTCAACTGGATGGTTAGTTGGGAAGTAGCATCTTCTTGAAGAGAGCCTCTCCTACACTAAAAGTTGACAATAATAGTTACATATGGCTGAAAGCAAAGACAGCATCAGGCTGATATTTACTTATTGCCAAAGGAATTGCTTTCACTGATGCAATGATAGCAACACCTTCGGTGGCTGGGGATCAGATTTTTGGGGCTCACTATTTCATATCTGCTAAGGACCTATAGCGTGTGTGTGTCCTTGGTTGTCCACTTAACATTTCCAGCTCACAACAATTCTCCATAGAGCTGCAACTGCTGGGAACTGAAGCTATATCTACTCGATGGGACTGACAGACAAACGCCAAAATTCTTGAACCTCTCTTTTGATTGAATAAACAGCATTTTGGATGCATATTTTGATGCATCTAGCAAGAGGGCTGGGGAGCTCATAAAGTGTGCTTCTTCTGAGATTTCCAGTACTTGTGAGGTTTCAGCTAGGCTAGGAATATTGTAAGTAAAGCATTTTTTGTTTCAGGATTTCTGCTTCCATCTGCTCCATAGGCATTGAAGAGACTCTGGTGTCTTTGAGAAGCAAATGTCTGTCTGTAAAGACTACACTGAGACAGCCTCACTCATTTCACTTATGACCTCAGGCTGCTTTGAATCCACAGATCCAGAGTTAATAGGCTGCTGTATCTCAGGTTAGTGGCCCTCCTTTCCATCAAGGAATAATTAAGATGTCAAATTTTGTACATCAGTTACTGCCACTCCAATGCAGAGTTACACGGAAATTATTAACATCTGCACAGAAATCAATAACAAGCCTTTTATTTGCTAGTGCTACTATCATAGCAAAACATGAGACGACAGGGGAAAGGGCAAAAGAGTACATTCTGAACATGTCGGTCTCCTGAGAACACATAACCCATGCAGCCAGCATCAGCACACTGCAGCGTGGCTCTCCTAGAGGTATATGCATTATGAATATAAAATAATCTCTGCCATCTGCCTTGTACTGAAATACACACTTGCAAGAAGAATGACGATACAGAGGAAATTCCTATTCTACAAATCAAATGATCCTCTGACATATATCAGATAGCAACTAACGGACAGATTTGTTTAGGATTAAAGCCTGACACCTAGCAGCAAAAAAGTTCAGCCAACACTGATTTATAATTTTAGAGTTAGCTCATTCAGCACTGTCTGCATCTTGACTATCAACTTCACTTTGCACCTAGACAAAATAACTAGCCTCATGTCAGTATTGCACATTGTAAAATAAAATAAAGGGAAGAAATTGGCTAAACACGGGTTTTTGTCCGTTCTGGACATTGTCATAAGACAAGTTCATCTGTTCATGGTTCACTGATCTTTCACAATAGCACCTAACTTCTAAAGGAAAGAAAGAAAATCAAAGAGAACATAGTAACAAAAAAATGTGCAGCTTAATTTTTAACTCACCCCATCCTCATCAAGTAAAATATTGGTAAAATATTTGGATGTCTCACTGAAATTTGCTTGACAGACAGTGTGAGACAAAGTAGATGCTTTGTTCTTCTGAATGCTGACATGGCATTTCTGCCTGAAAAAAAAGAAAGGCTCTGCTTTGTTTCATTAGGTGATTCATGAGCTGGTATTTGCAAAAGCAAAATTTCCTGTGAAAGCAGAAGTTTTACAAAGAGATGGTCTGCACTTCTGCACTGGAAGATCTTTGAGAAGAAAGACCTTTGTTGATCTTCTGTCTGTGCAAACTAAACTAAGACACAGGAAATTTTGGAGAAGGGCTGCTGCTCCTGGGCGCACATTGCTCCCTGTATTAAACAGAGGCTGATTTGTAGAAGGCCCCAGATTTCTCACAGCAGCACGGTGAATTGCACCAATGTCTTTATAGCAAAGGGGAGATCCTCAGGAATGCTCATGGTCAATTCCTATTCTGCTTCACAAGCAATAAAACGATATGCCAAAGCAGCACAATGGCCCCATTTTTTTATACACCCATCTTCATTTTAAATGTAGTTCTACCCCATCCACTAATGTTTTTATAGTTTAGGAACTTTACTATAACCCATCATGAGTATGGGGATATAACACACGGAGAACAATGAAGGTGGGATTGGAAGGATACCACAATTTAGACTCCAAAGCCTTTATATCACTAAGTCTATTCTGCAGTCTTTTCAGTACTTAAAAGTTACCTCATTTTTCTAACTGCATCACTTGATCTAATAAAATACATCGCCATTACTTGTAAACCTTTTCTTGCCTAGCTCCTTAGATCATCATGGCTACAGCAAATACTATTCATATATCCAACACAGGTAAAACCCCAAAATAAAGTATGCAAAGCTCTATCTCTGGAGAAGTCCAGAGGCAGGAAACTAAACTCAGATATCTCTAGAAGTATGTCAGCAAGTATGGTACACAGGGTCCAGAAAGGAAGAACTCTGCAGATTGCCAGGCAGAAATCTCCAGTTTGTTCCATGGGGTAGCAGCCCTTCACGTGAAGAGGAGCTCTCTGTTCTCCATGCTCCTCCACTATCTCCTCCGTATTTCTACCCTTTCACATTACAGCAGCTACCAGAGGACTCATAGTGCTATTTTCTGAGTCTTTCAACAGCTACCACCAAGGAACCTTAGCAGGTATCAAACTCTAGCAGCTATATAAAGATGTCCCCAAACAAGAGATTTGGTAGTGCTGCAGTGAGCACAGTGTTCTCTATTCCTTCTCTTCTTAGACTCCACCATACAAACTGGGATCAGTGTAAATTAGTCCTTTCACTTGCTCAGTAAAAAGGAAAAATAGACATCTTTATGCTCCTTGTATACATATCTGTGTTTTCCTTCCTCACGAATGATTGATTATACTCAGATTCAAACAATACAGAATCTTTCATTAAGAGAATGAAGACCATGATAATTTTCCTTGGACACTGCCTAAATCCCACTTGCCTATGTGCATTAAGTCAAAGTCTTTAATTTCATGACTGCATATTATTTTTCCACTAGACCCCTGCCTCAATCACTGCACAGGATAAACAGTGCTCACTGGAAAAGAAGTTATTCAGTCTTTCATTTAATCCTTGCCTTTTAATGTTCAAACTTGTGCCTTATCTACTGTTAGGACTATACAAACTCAGCTCTGAATTCAGAATGACTGATTTTTTCAAAGGCCCTTTTTTTCAGTGGATCTCATCAGTGCAGTATCTGATGAATGCCTCTGAGGTGAGGTATAGAATCCCCTGATAATACCTGCAGAACTGAAGACTTCACTAACTATAGGTGTTTGGTGTGAAGCACTGATCTTTCAGAGTACTGAGCATTATATAGTTTTTTATATTCAAAGTACAACTAACTTTGACTTCTGTTGCAGAGAAAATGGGGCAACTGATTCTCAGTATAGCTACCCAGAAAACCAGGAACATACAAATATATATCACCTAAAATTTTTAGGAACGCGTTGGCAGAGCCAGTTTTGAAGATGGTACCTACTCCCTTCAGAATACTTCCCTTCCACAGCCCTCAGTCCCATTTTCCACATACCTTCAAACTTCTGCTACAAATTAGGGAAGGAATTTATTGGCAATGACCAGATCCCTGTACAGTCCTGACTCATGTCCAAAGTAGGTCCTATATGTGCCTTGAGAAAGATAATTTTAGGGGTGAGGGGGAAATCCTGCAGAGACAACAACAATATATATCCCACAGGACCAGAGTAAGTTTTCCAGGACAACCTTAATTTTGGCATTTCCTGGCCCTATTGTGATTGATTTCACAATCTGAATGCTCTTATTATATATTTTTGTGCTATTTAATGTGGATTTGTGTTTACTTGTCAATGAGACATGAGCAAGCCTGGAACCTTCCAACATATTAAAAAGACTCAGTTGCTGAACTAGTTGGCCAGCTTTCAGCAGCAGCCAGCTGCCACCTTTTGTATGGACAAGCAATGGGGAAGGGCAACGTGACTCACAAACTACCATGAGGTTTTCCTGGTATTAGTTGCCTGTAGAGAAACAGTGAGACTCAGAAGCACTGCTGCGTTGTAGAAAAGAAGTGCTCTCCTGTGCTCAAATCTTTTTTGCCATGCTCTTCTCTTATCAGACAATTCTATCCTCTTCTATCAGTGCCTATCCTGGGCTTTCCTTATCTGACCTGCTTACTCATTCTCATTCCCATACCATGATTCTCATCCCCCAGCCCTCACCTAAATA